AGCAACGACGATTTGTAGCGTGTAGCGGCCATCGGCGTATCGTGTGTGGCGAGTCCATATAAAATGTATGAAAACTACAAGAAGTATGCCGGTGCCGACGATTTGTGGTTGTTGTCAGAGGCCCGTGTGTGGCGACACTTAATCTTTAAAAATCTAATTTTGGTCCTTATGTCTAATAAAAAAGACCTGGATACAGACATAGGATAATTTTATCCCGGAACAATAACAGATTCTTGTGGGATTCTCAAAAATGTAAAGTTAACATTTTTGAGAATCCCACAGGAATCTGTTATTGTTCCGGGATAAAATTATCCTATGTCTGTATCCAGGTCTTTTTTTGTATAACTAGGTAGGCAAATGACTCTACCCCACCTGATGTTAAGTGGTGATAAAGTCCAAACGCGAAGATAGCTGGTACAGCAGTTATAAACTGCTACACCAACCATCCTAACCTTGCCGGTCCGCAAAAATGCTTCTTCACGCCTCTTAAAGGACCCCAGATTATAGGAAGGAGGGAACACGTGCACGGGTAATGAATTCCACTTACGAATTGTATGACAAAGAAATGAGTCGCCAAATTTCTTTGTTCGTGTAGGAATAGTGGCCACAGTAAGTCGGTGGCAACGTAGGCCAGCGCGCGTGGTCGTCTGAAGAAAAGGTGATGGAGGGATAAGCGAGAATAGACTTGTCAGATAAAGGACCCAGTAGAAAACCAGCGTTAGGCTGAACTGGGCTTTTTTCAGCGCAGCCGTGGATACGGAGTGGTGTAGATTATGGCATGATTCTATTAACATGGGACTGAAATTGGCATCAGTCACTCCTTTTCATTCTCTATAGGTAGTGAGGAGCTCGATGGCGCAGGTGGCTAGCGCGTTCGGCTGCGATCGTTGAAGTTAAGCAACTTTCGCAGTGGTCGGTCATTGGATGGGTGATCAAAACATTTATTACTTGGAGCTCCTCCGTGCTTCGGAAGGCACGTTAACCCGTTGGTCCCGGCTGCATCTGCAGTCGTTAGCACCCACCAATCCGCACTGGGCCCGCGTGGTGGGTTATGGCCCAATCTCCCTATTCCATCCATAGGGAAGGCCTGTGCCCCAGCAGTGGGGACATTAATAGGCTGATGATGATGATGAGGTAGTGACAGGGATTGGGGAGTCGTGCTGGTCATTCATTCTGGCGGGTCGGACTAATTATGCAAGTAATCGCTTCATTGTTTGAGCTATGAAATTATCTTCTACTAGCAAACCAGTGAACCAAATGTTCACCAAAACCTGATTTAAAAAAAAATGTATTTAATTAATTGAGAACTTCGGAGATTTTGTGTGGTTTCGTTTGAAATTCGTGATTTCTCGAAAACCGGAAGTGCTACGTTACTCAAATCCGGTTTGTAGTCATATCAGACTATTCTTAACTTATAACTTAAATATTCTCTTTATCTATCTCTTACGGTTTGGCCGCTGAAACAGCACCACAGACGGGCGGACGGACGGACTTGTCTAATAGATAAGAGATTCCTCGAAGTACGAGGGTGGTTCTTTCGCAGAGAAAAATAAAAAAAAAACCTGAATATGTCCAAAAACAACTTTTCTATACTCAAATACAAATGATTCGTAATAATACTGAAAAGTCAATTTGAACTTTAATACCATACCATAAATTTCAAATGTTAGTGGAGAGGTTTCAGGGAAGGCAAAACAATTGAGTGGCGTGATGTCAATAGAAGTTTGGAAAAGGCAAATATACCATTTTCAGTTCTTTTTATAATTACCTATATGGAGAGTCATTTTAGTCTACACTACAGCTCTACACCGCAGCGAAGAGAAAGCGGGCCACTAGTACAACAATAAATATAGTCACATTGATATATTTAACCTTCATTCTTTGAAATTCAAAAAACTAATTAGTAATTCGTTTTAGGCACAATATTTTTATTCCTTTGTATTTTATTTATATCTATATATATATAACTCAAAGGTGATTGTCTGACATAGTGATCTATCAACGCACAGCTCAAACCATTGAACAGGATCGGGCTGAAATTTGGCATGCAGGTAGATGTTATGACGTAGGCATCCGCTAAGAAAGGATTTTGATCAATTCTACCCCCAAGGGGATAAAATAGGGAATGAAAGTTGTATGAAACTTTGTTAATTTTAAACCGATCGGGCTGAGACTTTGCATGCAGGTATAAGAAGAATTATAGATGAATGTCATTGTGTCATGTCAATACAAGCCTGAGAACAAAAGCTGTAGTCTACACTTCTCTACACCGAAGCGAAGCGAGGGCGGGCCGCTAGTTCATTATAATCTCAAAAATTGTTTATTTTTTCTCTCGTGTTTATAAGACACTATGTAAGATAAATAATAATATTTAGTTTAAACAATTACCCAGGTAATTTCCATCATGGAAATTACCTGGGTAATTGTTTAAACTAAATGTTTTATTTTTTATGTGTAATGAATGTTGTTATTTCCCTAATAATAAATAAATGAATCGACGCCATTATAGTACATGTTAAGTTGTATTTATTGTACATTTTCTGTCTCTTTTTGTTATTTTGTAAAATTATAAGTTTAACAATTTGTCTGTATCCGTGTTCTGTGCTGAATAAACGATTTTGTTGATGTTCAGTAGTTTTTGCGTGGTTGAGTAACAAACACACAAACGTACACACTTTTACATTTATAATATTAGTAAGACTAGCTGCCACCGGCAACTTCATTCACTTCTACTTTAGTTTTGTGACAACCCCATAGGAGGAACATTTTTCTGGGGTAAAAAGTCACAATCAAGTCCATAAACTAAATGCTTATCAAATTTCATCCAAATCCATTCAGTAGTTATTGCGTGATTGAGTAACATATCATACAAACTTTCACATTTATAACATTAAAGTAGAATTTAATGTTAAATAATCACTTTGAATCTTTATTTATTTATTGACGTTTCGTAGCCTTTACAGGCTCCGTCGTCAGAATTCGTGCATTAACCCGTAAAAACTAGTTTTATTTAATGAGTTATGTGCGTGAAAACCTAAGAAACAAACACTTTGAACCTTTTGCTATGACCGTAAAAGTCTACAATTAAATTCCCGAACATAATTAAAAAACGCGGTCAAATAAAAAATTAAAACTACTAAAGTAATTTTTGTCAAAAAAAAACAGCTTTTATGCGTTGTAAGAGTTCTTCAATTTTAGTTGTCGTTAATTTAAACAAGACCTTTTTTTTGGTTAATGTGCAGTAATGTTATTTTGAGGAGCACGATGGTGCAAGTGGTTTGCGAGTTCGGCTGCGATCGTTGAAGTTAAGCAACTTTAGCAGTGGTCGGTCATTGGATGGGTGACCACAAATTTACTATCTCGAGCTCCTCCGTGCTTCGGAAGGCACGCTAAGCCATTGGTTCCGGCTGCATCTGCAGTCGTTAGCACCCACCAATCCGCACTTGGCCGGCGTGGTGGGTCATGGCCAAAACTCCCTATTCCATCCATAGGGAAGGCCTGTGAAAAATATAAGTTATTAGTTACTTATACATTCAAGTTATTGCTAATTTAATTGAAATCATTTATTTCTATTTTAAATTGGATACCCTATTAGGGTTCAATATATTTATTTTTATGTAACATCTGCAATAACCACGTGTGCAATAAATGAATTTCAATCATAGCTACATCTCAATCATGTTGTCGTACTAGAGATTAAGTACCCTTAACGCGTAGTTTTTTGTATCTAAGTTGTTATCAGTAACAAGTAAGATAAATCAGCCGTACAGTACCCTTAGTACGAGTTTTACAATTACGAAAACTATGATAGTTTTCGAGAGCTTGCACTCGTACTAAGGGTATTGATTTTATTGTTTTCGTTTCAATACAAATAAACAGTGTTTAAATTCTATCATTATATCGTTTGCGTCTTCTTACATTTTAAGAATATTTGGTTACTTTTTACCAAAATGGACATAGAAACATAATTTACAATAGGGGTGATGACGGGGTACAGTAAACGAAATTCTATTTAGTCCGTCAGTTAGATGATCAAAAAATAATGGACACGTATTTTTTCTTTGAACTTTCAACCAATAACTGACAAAGTTATAGCGCGTCAAAGTTTGGGAGTAGGGACTCGTGACGTCACGTTTTAGTGAATTTTCACTTAAAAGTGTACTCAAACGTGACGTCATGCGACTTTTTAAATCAATATATCTCTGCAATGTTTATATTATGTGAAAAAAGAAAAAATGCGTGTCCAATACTTTTTGATAATCTACCTGATAAACGAAGAAAAAAAAAATAGTCATTACGAAAACTATGATAGTTTTCGTTAGTTCAAACTCGTACTAAGGGTACAGTTCCGCTAACTTTGCTGTTTCTCGATAGACTTTTTTGTGAAATATTTGTGGGAGAAACAATAAATTCTGGTTCAATATACGCTTCCGTTTACACCCAGTCCAGTACTGGCAATGACAATGTGAGTGAAATTATTGTTGAATCCCTTTTTCTGTCACTAAAAAACTACAAAAACAAAAAGTTAACAAAGCTCGAGTATTTATTATCAAATTTGATATTTTTTTTATCTAAACTAAAAAATCTAACAAAACATCCACGCGGACCAGGCAGCAGACGGGACTCGAATTATGCTACCGTGGCCCTCACGGACCGCGTCGAAATTCTTCTAGCCATTCTTAAGCTGCAAGGCAGCGCCATCTCTTCGCATTATAGGTAACCCACAATGTCAAATGAATACTTTTACAAGTATTAAACATTTGAAAGAAGAAATAGCAATTATATTTCGAGTTCGAGAGGGTTCGAGTCCCGTCTGCTGCCTGGTCCGCGTGGAATTTTTTCTAGTTATATTTTCTTTAGATTTAAACATCAAGCAGTCACATGCTTTAAAATAATAAAAATTAAACTAAAAAATCTAAACAAAACTGAACCTAAATGTTGCGTGGCGTGCATATTCTTTCTATTGGCAGTAGAGTTCAGACGTACCCCAACATCCCCGTTTGATAAGCGTATCACAAAGATTGGAAAACTGGGGTTAGAAAAAGCTGTTCGCATCGGACCCTCCGCCTCGGATTCAGTCTTGATAGAACAGCCGCTGAGTTCACACGCAAACTCGCTCCCAACGCGCTTCACACACGCAATTATAAGAACAATGATAGTACGTCATTAATTAAGCGTTATTTTTTCACTAATATAAAGCATTGTTTGTGACAAACGACACGAGAAAACTGCACAGGACATGATATAGATTGCGGTGAGTAAGAATATGTTTATTATCAAAGTTTCATTGGTACTTGTTGACGATCTACGTGGTGTAGCGGCGTAAGAATTTTGTTTTCCTTAGTTTGCGTTTCTGGTTCGAACTTCGGTTGGGAAAAGTCTTCAAACAATCTTTGTATTGTCTCGACTTCTCTTCCCGTTGCTAAGGGTTTTTCTAATAAATACATAGCAATCCAGCTCTCTTGCGGTTTCCCCAATGTGTTTACGTCCAACTAACGTAGGCATTCCTACATCTGGCTTCCCGCATGGTAAATTGTGGATTTACATGTTTACCCGCCTTTTAACGAGTTTTTTATGCGTGTGTCTGGGTTTCGTTACATTTCGTACTTGCAATTTTATTTTCGTGTTTTGTGTACAAAAGTACTTACTACCTATGAACATCCTTGGGATAGGCTATTTGTTAACTAGCATTTGTTTATATTAAACTGAGAATAATAAGATAACAATCGAGTTGGTTTGCTTAATTTTATTCGTGAGTGGACAGACATGAATAACAACCTCGACCCGGGAGAAAATCATTTTTCTTGGTGATTTTATTAGAAATATTTTCGTTACCTTTTTTCCTGTAAATGTTTTGTTTCAATCGCAACGGGGAAAACAGGATTATGAATATTTTTCACAATCAAATTTTCACGTTTATAAAACCGTCTTTAATCGGATATTTAAGATCGCTACAATTATTATTTCAATTCAGTTTTTTTGTTTAATTGTTCATTTAAAAGCTTTCAATACAGACATTAAAAATACAAGTCCTACTAATATCCAAAATGTGAAATTTTGTTTGTTTGTTACTCAATCATGCAAAAACGGCTTAACGGATTTGGATGAAATTTTACACAGATTATTACCTGGTAAGCGTCATAGGATACTTTTATTTCCGAAAATTTGCTAGGTCCCTGAGAGATTAAAAAAATACAAAGCTAACGCGATCGAAGTAGCTGGCGGCTGCTAGTTTAATCTATAAATTTTGCTTATTTACCAGTCAAACTGTATTGGAATAACAATCGTATTAGAGTCTATCCATCAAGTTTAGTTTTCAACCGAAACTTTTGAACGCATTGTCCTCCCGAAACTACAAAATTATCAGCCCATACAATATGTCGCCCTGTGAACAGCTCAATTCTGTACAGGGTTGCCCTTCAATTTATAATCGCATTTAATATAATAAATAACCTGAACCCTAAATTTATATTTTTTTTGTGATATATCATAATACATTTAAAAGTCTGAGTTTATTGAACAATTTTTTTAAGTATAAATAATACTTCATACGGTAATTTTACCATTTCAAATAAAGATATTGTTAAGGATGCGCACAAACACTAAAATTATGGTTTTGTGTGCGTGTGTGTGTGTTTTTTTAGATAGGTCCGACAAATGACTCCACCACACCTGATGTTAAGTGAAGATGAAGTCCAGACGCGAAGATAGCTGATACAGCAGTTCTACCTGCCACACCAGCCATCCTCACCCTGCCGGCCTGCATGTTACTTCTTCACGGCAATTCCTTTATGGCATTTTTTTTTGTTATTGCTTTTGCCAGAGCAGAGCTATTCTATTATTAGCACATTCTGTGAAATTGCAACGGTTTACCAATCTCGGCTCTTGAGATCAAGCCCTCTGACAGACAGATGATGGTACAATCCTAAACTGTAAATGTAAAATTTTGGCTGGAAAACTGCGACCAATTTTAATTTTCAGAGTTCCGTACCTCAGGGTTCCACTCGCAGTGTAGGGTTCCGTAGTTGCCTGTAGTTACTACAAATGAGCTGGAGTCTTTATTTTCTGTATCGGAAATTAGAAAAATCAATTCATATTAATCTATGTATCTCAGCTAAAATTCAAACTTTGTCTCAAACTCAAAAACAATGAGATATTTTTTTTAATGAATGATAACCGCCGATATGTATTTTGTTTTTTCGGCGGGAAAGTGGGTGTGAAATCCTCATGGATACCCTACAGCCGGCTGCAAGGTTAAGTCAGACTCTTACTGACTAAAAGCTTCATCTGAAGCGATCATCCCCTGACATCCCCTGCCAGGACTACAGAACCCTAAAAATGGAACCATTAAAGGATCACTTTGTTCCGTCCGTCTCTCTATCTGTCATGACCCTTGGTACCCTCTCTGAGCGAGTCAAACTTACACTTGATTAAATTCTGTCGTTAGATATAAAAATTAAGCAATATTATACCCAAATAAAAAAAAATGTGTTATAAAAAATCATTCGTTTCTTATTATATTATCCATAGTGATCACCGAAAATATAAAGTACATCAAAAAAAAAACACACAGCTATAAACATATCTTATACTTTATTATTTAAAACAAAGTTTTCATTTATATATTTTTTATCAAGTTAAGACAAAGTTAGAGGTAAGTCCTATACATCATTAGGATATATAGAATCTTGACATACTATTTTATTTTTTGAATAAACCTTAAAACAACTACTATAAATCTTATATCCAATTAATATATAAAAAATATATAAAAAAAAAATAAAAAAATAAGTTTATTAAAATAAAACAAAATCCTGTTTTTTATTTTATTTTTTAATAAAAGAAGCTTTAAAAGAACGAGCAACCAGTGATGGCAACCCTAACGTTCTAATACGGCCGGTGTGACCGTTATTATTGTGTTCTAGTCGCGTTGTCTCAAACCCTTTCTGAGTAACACGTTTCAGAAGGGTGGGTACAATAGACCCCACATAGTACAGAGTTGTGGGGACGAACTATCACCCCTAACCTAACTAGAAAAATTTATTAGATCTGTTTATTGCCTATCTTATCTGGTACGCCTATAAATAAGCTTTTCGTCTAATAAAATATAAGGGAAATAATGAGATTAGACTTAAAAAATAACAGTTTGTATTTGGAGGTCTGTTTTGTTTTTTAGACGAAGAAAGAAAGAAAGAAAAACATTTATTGACGACATACATTAACAATTACAATAAATACACAACAAACATATAACATAAAACATATTTATATTTATATATATCGTCAACTACGCCCCACCTCAGCATAACGTTGCAACGGCAAAAACGGCTTGCCGCTGCAACGCTGATATTCTGGAGGAACCTAATTTGGATATCGACGGACGAAAATACAAGACAATCACTTAATACACAAAACAAAAAAACCATTTTGGCCCTCGAAGAGGGCTTGGTTTTGCTTTTGACTTCAAAATTAACACTCACTAGTGTTGCTAATAGTATTTTTCATGAACTTTTAAGGAGAACTATAACAGTTAACATAAATTTGTCAGTTCAAGAGTAACAGTCGATCAACTTTGGTTAATTAAAGAAAATTTCTTACCTACTGAAAATTCCTTAGAAAAAAACATTAATAGTGACGTAGATGCAGTTATTGTAGTGTAAAACCTTGCATTGCAACACAATCTTAAAAATAAACTATTTAAAAACCACAATAAAATATCGTCAGTTCCACAACGCTACCGCGAGTATCAACGGCAACGGTTCTTTCAACTTTGGTTAAAGAAAATTTCTTACCTACTGAAAATTACTTAGAAAAAAACATTAATAGTGACATAGATGAAGTTATTGTAGTGTAAAACGTTGCATTGCAACACAATCTCAAAAAAAAAAAACTATTTTAAAACCACAATAGAATATCGTCAGTTCCACAACGCTACCGCGAGTACCAATGGCAACGGCATCCGAGTTCTGAATCGCGCTGACGTTACCTTTTTGAAAATAATATTTAGGAACTTAAAATAGATCGGCGGTTATACCGCGTCATTGCCTTCTCAGGGGATGATCGCTTTCGATGAAGCTTGTAAGGCCCTTCTTGCCATAAGCATGCATTTTAGTCCGTAAGAGACTGACATAACCTTGCAGCCGGCTGTAGGGTATCCAATCCACGAGGATTTCACATCCGCTCCCCTGCCTGGGAAGGAAACAAAAATAAAATAGGCGGTTATCATTCGTATTTAAAAAAATCATTAACATCGAATTGATTTTGAGTTTGAGACGTATATTGACTATGATTTTGATATTTTAGTTGAGATGCAAAAATTGATATTAATTGGTTTTTCATATTTCCGATATAGAAAATAAAGACTTCTGCTCAAATATATTGTGGTAACTACAGGCAACTACGGAACGCTACACTGCTCGTGGAACGACATGTAATTGGCCGGTTTTGTTTATAATAAGGGCTAGGTTTTGCTTAAGACATACCAAGTAGAATAAACTTAAAACATAGGACACGGCGAAAGCTTATATATAAGCAGCCTTTTTACTCAAAGACACAAAGGCTTAAAGGTTTTAGAGTACCTATTATTATCACTTGTATCAATTTATGCATGATTATATTGAATGGTATTGTATTTGATATTAATTCGTTTTTTCTTTGATATTAATAGATGGCGAGACAGGCCTTATGATATTTTAATGGGCAAACACAGCAAACAACAGCATTTGCCCGGCGCCAACAAAACTTACATAAGCTCCACAGTTTACCATCTTTAGTCCAAAAATTTAAATTATAATTATAAAATCTAAATAAAATCGAGACAAATAAAAATAAGAACAGGTCTTGGGGTCTAAAACAAACATATAAAAAAAGAAAAAATATAATAAAAAAAAAAATACGAGTGCGGAACATGATTTTGATAGATTTCAATTTAAACTTTAATGTCATAATAACAAAAGTAGTAATGACTATCGCATTGTCACAGATATAGTATGTTGAAACAAATAATAGCAAACACCGAATGTGCCATCTGGAATAGTAGCGTAATGATATGTATATGAAGATGTCCTATCATAGAAAAGTCCGCGTGTGTAATATATAGGACATTCAAAATATCTAATTTTGAACGTTTACCAAAGAGCATAGCTGAGCCAGCGTCCTATTGGCCTTACAAGGCACACACCTAGTAATTAGTTCCCATGTTTTTTATTATGTCTATGTTTTATTTTTATAACCATTTTGTTTTTCTAAATTCAT